TCTTGACGGCAGAAGATAAATGACCACATTTTAGACTAATCAGGGGAACCACGGGCAATGATCAGACATTTAGTCTTTTCAGAGTTTAACTGAAGGAAGTTATTTTCTAGCCAGCTGGTGATTGCTGAAAGACTCTCTAATTCAGACAGTTTGTAGAACTCAGAATCCTTAAAGGAGCAGTACAGCAGAGAGGCCCAGACTTCCCTCTCCACAGCCACTTGGGCCAGCTCTTCTGGGGGAATCCCAAGGCGTTACCTGGCCAGCCGAGAGGGATAGTCCCTCCAACGTGTCTTGGGTCTTCCCTTAGGACTCCTCCCGGTTGGACGTGCCCAGAAAACCTCACCAGGGAGGTGTCGGGGAGGCATGCTGACCATATGCCCAAGCCACCTCAGCTAGCTCCTCTCAACGTGGAGGAGCAGCGGGTCTACTCCGAGCCGCTTCCGGATGACCAAGCTTCTCACCCTGTCTCTAAGGGAGAGCACAGACACGCTGTGGAGAAAACTCGTTTTGGCCGCTTGTATCCCCAATCTCGTTCTTTCAGTCACTACCCAAAGCTCATGACCATAGATGAGGGTAGGAACGGAGATTGACCAATAAATTGAGAGCTTTGCCTTCCGGCTCATCTCTCTCTTTTGGATGGAGTGAGAGTAAAGTTTTCTGGGACAAGAGGAAATCTGGTTTAAATAAAATTACAAAACCTTTTGTGTTTGAGCTTTTCTAAACTGTGGTAAGAAAACACAGATCCTCACTTCCAGATGTGGACGTGGACATGCTGAAGTAGTAGTCTGGTGTGTAACAAACAGATGTAAACAGCGTCTGGTAGAACATTATGCTCACAGTCATTGTTTTGATCAGAATGTCTGAAAAGACATTTTTTTAAAACATTAAAAAATAAAGCTTAAAACTCTTGTTCCATTCTATTAAATAAATAAATAACTTGACAAGAAATCACCTGGTTTCCACAATTTCCTGACTGTTGGGTTTATTGCTTTTTGTTTCAAATATTTTAGATATTAAAGCACAATTGTGCTATTTTAGCAATGGCTCAGCAAGCTCATTAAGAATGATGATCTGCATGTTTAAGTCCTATCGTCTCAAACCTTTCAAACCCGCCTTTCTCCTAAATTACATGATCATAATTTCTTAGCTCCTTGCCAAAAATCAGTAAATCAGTATTTTCATATCATTTTATTGCTACTCTTGTTTTAATCTGTGATTAATCTAGCCAACTAATTAGAATTTTAGCATGATTTAAGTGCTGGTCATGAAATTAGAATATAATGACAAAAGTGATTTATTTCAGTAATTCCATTCAAAAAGTGAAACTTGTATATTAGATTAATTTATTACACACAGACTGATACATTTCAAATGTTTATTTCTATTAATGTTGATGATTATAACTGACAACTAAAGAAAATCCCAAATTCAGCATCTCAGAAAATTAGAATATCATTTAGGACCAAGGAATTTTAGAAATTTTGGCCAACTGAGAAGTATGAACATGTGCAACACTGAATATTTACTTTAGGCTCCTTTGAACTGGATTACTGTAGCACTGCAGTGTGATGTGGAGTCCATCAGTGTGTGGTACTGCTCAGGTGTTAGGGTCCATGTTGCTCTGATAATGGCCTTCAGCTCTTCTGAATTGTTGATCTGGCAAATTGTGTCTTCCTTTTCACAATACCCCATAGATTTTCTACGGGATTAAGACCTCAGAAAACACAATAGACCAACACAAGCATACATGGCTCCCCAAACCATCACTGACTGTGGAAACTTTACACTTTAGACCTCAAGCAACATGGATTCTGTCTCTCCTCTCTTCCTCCAGACTCTGGGACCCTGATTTCCAAAGGAAACGCAAACTTTACTTTGAGTGAACACAACTTTGGACCATCATCAGCAGTCCAGTTCTTTTTGTCTTCAGCCCAGGCGAGACACTACTGATGCTGTCACTTGATCAAGAGCAGCTTGACACAAGGAATGCAACAGCTGAAACTATGTCTCACATACGTCTGTGTGTGGTGGTTCTGGAAGCACTGACTCCAGCTGCAGTCCACTCTTTGTAAATATCTGCCATGTTTTTGAATGTTTTTGGTTTCACAATCCTCTCCAGGGTGCGGTTATCCTATTATACACTTTTTCTACCACATCCTATTAGTGTATTTGGAAACAGAGCTCTGTGAACAGCCAGACTCTTTAGCAATGACCTTTTGTGTCTTGTCCTCCTTGTGCAAGGTTTCAACGATATATATATATATATATATATATATATATATATATATATATATATATATATATATATATATATATATATATATATATATATATATATATATATATATATTTATATATACAGGTGCTGGCCAGTAAATTAGAATATCATCAAAAGGTTGAAAATATTTCAGTAATTCCATTCAAAACGTGAAACTTGTACATTATATTCATGCAATGCACACAGACCAATGTATTTCCAATGTTCATTACATTTAAATTTGATATTCATAAGTGACAACTAATGAAAACTCCAAATTTGGTATCTCAAAAAATTAGAATATTCTGAAAAGGCTGAATATAGAAGACACCTGCTGCCACTCTAATCAGCTGATTTACTCAAAACACCTGCAAAGGCCTTTAAAAGGTCCCTCAGTCTTGTTTTGAAGGCACCACAATCATGGGGAAGACTTCTGACTTAACAGCTGTCCAAAAGACAATCATTGACACCTTACACAAGGAGGGCAAGACACAAAAGGTGATTGCTAAAGAAGCTGGCTGTTCGCAGAGCTCTGTGTCCAAGCACATTAACAGACAGGCGAAGGGACGGAAAAAATGTGGTAGAAAAAAGTGTACAAGCTCTAGGGATAACCGCACCCTGCAGAGAATTGTGACGACAAACCCATTCAAAAATGTGGGGGAGATCCACAAAGAGTGGACTGCAGCTGGAGTCAGCGCTTCAAGAACCACCACGAGGAGACTCATGAAAGACATGGGATTCAGGTGTCGCATTCCGTGTGTCAAGCCACTCTTGAACAAGAAACAGCGCAAGAAGCGTCTCGCCTGGGCCAAGGACAAAAAGGACTGGACTGATGCTGAGTGGTCCAAAGTTATGTTTTCTGATGAAAGCAAGTTCTGCATTTCCTTTGGAAATCAAGGACCCAGAGTCTGGAGGAAGAGCGGAGAAGCACAGAATCCACGTTGCATGAGGTCCAGTGTAAAGTTTCCACCGTCAGTGATGGTGTGGGGTGCCATGTCATCTGCCGGTGTTGGCCCACTCTGTTTCCTGAGGTCCAGGGTCAATGCAGCCGTCTACCAGGAAGTTTTAGAGCACTTCATGCTTCCTGCTGCTGACCAACTTTATGGGGATGCAGACTTCACCTTTCAACAGGACTTGGCACCTGCACACAGTGCCAAAACCACCAGCACCTGGTTCAAGGACCATGGTATCCCTGTCCTTGATTGGCCAGCAAACTCGCCTGACCTTAACCCCATAGAAAATCTATGGGGTATTGTGAAGCGGAGGATGCAATACGCTAGACCCAACAATGCAGAGGAGCTGAAGACGACTATCAGAGCAACCTGGGCTCTCATAACACCTGAGCAGTGCCACAGACTGATCGAGTCCATGCCACGCCGCATTACTGCAGTTATTGAGGCAAAAGGAGCCCCGACTAAGTATTGAGTGCTATACATGCACATTCTTTTCATGTTCATTCTTTTCAGTTGGCCAACATTAGAGAAACAAACATTTTTTCATTGGCCTTTAGAATATTCTAATTTTCTGAGATACCAGATTTGATGTTTTCATTGGTTGTCACCTATAAATATCAAAATTAAACGTAATAAACATCGGAAATACATTGGTCTGTGTGCATTGCATGAATATAATGTACAAGTTTCACGTTTTGAATGGAATTACTGAAATATTTTCAACCTTTTGATGATATTCTAATTTACTGGCCAGCACCTGTATATATATATATGTATGTATGTATGTATGTATGTATGTGTGTGTGTGTGTGTGTGTGTGTGTGTGTGTGTATAATGGGATATGCATTTTTACAGCATAAGTTGTGATTTGCAACAACATGTAGCCCTTCTGAATAAAAAAAAAACTTTAGTCTTATTTTGACCAGGAAATATCCTTTAACACACACACTTTAAGATTGTTTCTGGGTCTGCTTTTTTTTTTTTTAAACTCAAAATTGCTTGAATTGAAAACATCCTGTTTCAGCAATGCAGGAGAACAATCCCCTGCATTTGTTACTGTTAGCCTTGATGGTGTTGTAGTTCTTTCCTTTCAAGATGTCCAACAGGTCTGTAAAACATCTCCAGCTGAACCCCAGCAACGCTGCATGGGAGTTTACTTTCAGAGCATGATTTGGGATCAGTTGGAGACTTTTTAAACTTCAGAAAATGTGATATTTTATAACTCAGAATCAACTCTGACACAAACATAAAGCTCTATCTGTGTGAATTTGTTGTTTAAGTATTTTACCACTATATATCAGTCAGCGGTGTGAAGTTCCCATGAACCATGATGTAGAGCTCCAATCTGGGTTGTTGTGGTTAAATGTCGCCTCCAACATATAATCTAAGTGTAAATTACTGTTGGAGCCTCAATTTAACATTTTTATATACCACCTTACAGACAGAAAAAATGCCACCAAGGTGGTGTACAGACATAATAGAACTGATAAAAACAAACATAAAAGATGCACAAGAACACAATAAGGCATTATACTTGTAACACTTATACTGTTAGAAAAATGCAACAAACTATGGCGTCACCTGACAGAGCGAGAGTGACGCTGGGGTAGTGACTGAGTCAGCTCTGCTCATTGGTAAAACTTCACATGAATCTGATTACAATAAAACTCTCGTAATGTAACCATCACAACAACTTTGGGATTTCATCCGATTCAAGATGACGACTATTTTTAATCAACTTTAGCAAACACAAAATGTGCCACATCATTTTTACAGAGATTGAGCTGTAGCATCATCAAGGTTCTCTAATTTGTGGCAAAGGTCACATTTACCCAGCTGGGTCAAGCTGGGTCAAACAGTACTTTTAAATCCACAGATTAACCAAGGAGCCATGATGTCTGGAAGAACATATCACCTATCTGCTGCTGTTCCATCCCAGGAGGAGGGCACTCCAAGTTCAGGATGATAATAATTAAATGATAATATTAATAAAATATATTAGATTTTATTACTGTTTATGAAAATCATCATAAATGATCACTAGGTTCAGTATAATGGTATTTTAATTACATGAAATGAGTTATTATGCTTTGGGTATAATAATGATTAATTATGATTATGGTTGATGACAGTAAAAGATGTGTTCAGCAAAGAAGGCCAGTTTCACCGTATCCATCTAACACAGAGTCCAGATAAACAATAACCCAACACATGTGTTTGACGCATGACCAAGCTTTCTTGCTGAGAGAGTGGGAGTGTCCTGAGAGCTTTTGTAAACTAACCATCACAGCTTCACGGCAGTTCTTGAACCAACATCACTGAGGAAGGAAACGGCCATCCCTAACCTCTGCCAAGCTGTTCTGTCACGCTGACAAGAATAGCTAAGAATAAACAAAACCTTAACCAGCTGATGAAAAAACTCCTGACAGAGTCATTGGTTTTTGAGTTAAGACGAAAAACTCCTTCAGAGTTACGGACTTTGAGACACCAATAGTTCATCAGTCGTGTGACCCACGGAGACAACCCAGGACTGATTTGGTCGCATAGAGGTCCTTCTACCATCCTCGTGCCCGGAGGAAATCATCTCCACTTGACATCTCGGATCCGAATGGGGGTCTCCGGAACTGGGTGAGGTAGACACTAATCGACAGATGACGTTTGATGCTGTTCTCTCTAAGTAAACAACAGTTAGCTGCGAAACATCATTTCCAATCCAGAACGCTTTCTCTCTCTCTGAAAGAAATCTTCTGATAATTTCATTCACGCATCCAAACTCGTATTTCCAATTTAGCTTCCATCCAGCCACAGGTTTGCTTTTAAACCAAGTTTAATATCAAAGCTGTTAAAAATTGTTGTTAAATTGTCATCCATGAATTGTCGTTTCAAATCTTTAAGTTTAAATTGTTAGTAATAAAATTTCTTCATTTTTAAACTTGCCTCATTATTGAAACGAAACACAGAAAATGTATAATATTTCTGATTATTGAAAAGCAAAGATTCCTAGCTTCTGATTCAAAATAAACTTTTGCTATAAAACTTAACTATTTAAATAACTATTTAAATTAAATGTTAATCTTTGGATTAACATTAGACCAAACCGGTTGGTGTATGAACTTAGATCGATATATAAGTATCCGGGATATTTATACATGATCTAAGCCTCATAGGTTAATCTGATTGAATCTCAGAATCTAACAACTGATAGCAAACAGTGTGATTCTAGTGTGTAGTTAACTCTACAGAGCAAACCCTTGTTTCGTAGCTGAAAATCCTTCACACTCATAATGTACATGTCAGATCATAAATCAATTTCTGACATTTGACCAAATCGACCAGAACACCATCATTTCCAGACATGAGATGATCTTAGTTTGAACCTTTGGCCTAAAGCAGGGGTATTCCATTTTGGACCTGGAGGGCCGGTATCCAGCACGTTTTAGTGGTTTCTCTGCTCTAACACACTTGATTCAGTGGTTGAATCACCTGTGCTGCAGCTTATCAGGCTCTGCAGAAGCCTGTTAATCACCTGCTGATTGAAATCAGGTGTGTTGGAGCAGGGTTAAAACTGAAACATGCTGGACACCGGCCCTCCAGGACTGAATACCCCTGGTATGAGTGATATGTTTACTTCCTATAAACACACGACAGACCACAAATTTCTCAGCTTTTATGGATTCTTATTTTATTACCTTTGTGTTTAAAATTTAGTCTCAAAGTTGTTCATGTACTTAATGTCCAAAAACAGTCAAAAACTGTGAAACTGACAGTAAATAATAAATTAATGTATATTAGACTCTTGAGATTTTGCCTCCTTCTCAAGGAAAAGAGAACAGCTCCATCTTGTTTATTGATACAAAGAACACAAGGCCAGGAGGGGTCACATCAACCCTGCTTTGGAGCTTTAAATTAAAAAAGCTATTGAGTTTGTATCAATTGATAGTAAGCCGTCAAGCAGCAATGACCTCATTTTCTCAGAATATCTCCTGAAAGCAATAGTAAATACATCCCTCTGGCTGGGGTGGGGGTGTAAAACGCAGCCAAACAAACACAACAAACAAGGCTAAGAGGTCAGGGCTGATAAGAAATGACCCACCACAGCAGTCTGATAAATTGATTTCCTTCTCTCAAGATAAGAAACGTGTTGTTCTCCTTCAGGTCCTGCTGCACTGTGCTCGTCACACATTTTTCACATCTCATGCAATTTACTCTGAGCTGCTAAGACCCATCAAAGATTTCCTGCTCTTTCAATTAGACTGGATATGAACATCTAAACTGATGCAAAACCAGGGCATTCTGAAACATGCAGAAATAATCTGAGTTTAAATGAGAAATAAACCTTTTCTTTGTGTGTTTAGTTGGCTCAGCCATGGGATCTTAAAATGTGTCTCTGAAAACAGTAAGACGCTATAGCCTGACCTCAGTCCCTGTCTGAAAAGCTTTTTGTGAGTAAAAAATCATGTAAATAAAAATTAGGAAAACACTATGCTCCAATAATTCCCTGCTGTATTCAAAAATACCCAGGACCAAAACAGCCGTGGTTCAACTTCGACTAAAGGTCATTACCTTGGTAGCATTTTTCCATCACATCCAAATAGACAGAAGTGCGCATATTGCCTCTGAATTAGTTTGACGCAAACGCACACACACACACACACACACACACACACACACACACACACACACACACACACACACACACACACACACACACACCCTTAAAAATGGGGAGGTTTTATAGCTTAAAACTTCTAAATAATCACGTAATGTTAAACTGAGGGCAACATGCTAAAATACTGTTTGTGTGACTGAATCTGGAGACACTGTCATGTTTTGTGGAAAGTGTTTGACTCAATGAACGGAATCAGCTCAGAACAGGTAAGATAAATAATAACATTTGCTTGAAACTTAGGGAGCACCGTCAAAGGAGGTGAGGCAGGAACGAATCACGGTTCTGGAGTTAGTGTGAGTTGTCACGGGAAGTGGACTCTGAAGAACAACAAAAGAACAAAAAAATGGATTAATGAAAAGAGCCAAACAGAAAGTGAGACATGAAAAAACGATACGCATCTGGTTTATTTCAAAATGAACCCTGAGTTATCATTGCCAGCTTTTATTTAATCATTACTGCCAGCGATAATTGTTCTCAGTGTTTGATGGTTCACAATATATTCTCAGGTCTATCTTTAAACACTGAATGTCAAATTTCTAATCACTCAGTGGGAATTCTTGTGGGAATAGATTTCCAGACTTTCAACCCATGAATCAAAGTCAGTGGGAATGGCAGTCCAGAAGCCATGTGGGAAGCAGACCCTATCTGTTCCATACGTGGTGTGAATGAGGGGCAGAATGCAGGGTTCTTGTTGGGACCCCAGACTCACTGCCTGTGCTTTGGGGTTTACCCTGGGGATGAAAGGGAATCCCAGTGTCTCCAAGTTTACAGACAAGTCCTGACTGTTGTTTGTGTTTATGCATCAAATAGTTCAGAAGTATGTTTTTCCGAGAAAGAAAGAAGAAACTACTGACTCAGCAAACCTTCAGCCTAAATTCTGTTTTATTTACATGTGTTTTGTGTAATTATCTTCTTTGACTTCCTTTGAGCCAAAGTGCTCTCCAATTGGGAGGCAAACTTCCCTGTGGGAAGTGGGATGAGTGTTTTCGCCACATTTCTGACTCTAACATTGCTGAAAATCAAATTGTACACACACACTTTGAAGCTAGGCCCTGCGGATTCTAAACACGTGTCTCCCAACCCTCAACACCAACGTTTCACAGAGATAGAAGCTAAAGAGTCGTCCTCAGAAAGTCACAGAGATGTATGAACACGAAACGTGAAGCTCCAGGCAATCCCACCAGCGTAAAGACATATTGACGTAAAGTTGCCATTTGGAACAACTTTATTTGTCACTGAATGACTACAGTCGTAACTAAAATTAATTGTTGGACAACAAAAACAATTTTGAGGAAGTGTTACTGTTGCTGTTACAGTTGGCACAGATGCAACCACACTGCCATTTGAGACATCGTGCTTGGATATAATCCTCTGTAAAATAGTTGTTCTTCACTGAAACTCAAACCTCATACAGTTACTGTGAAGATGCAAGACTATTCGCTGATAGTTGAAGCTACTGCTGCCCTTTCCCAAAGAGGTATTCATCCTGAATTCATTTTTTTTTCAGGCAGCAAAGAAAAAATATCTTCTTTTTACGATGTTCAATGTCCATTCACACTTCATCAGTAACACATAAACTAATGTTTACACATGTAACGTCCAGCATTGATCAGTTTTAGGTACAGTTTGACCATTCAACATCTGGTCACAACGGAGACACGAGACTGCATGTGTTCCCCTTGAATCGGCCTGCCTTCATCCCATCAGCTGGAGCTCAGAGCCTCTCTGCAGCTCTGAACACGTGATAACGAATTGTCAACAAGGTCCAGCTTCCCTTATCATCCTACAGGATTCTTCACGCCTCCAAATAAAGAACACCCGCAGCTCGGATTAGTTGCTTAATCAAAGAATGATTTCTTAAATTAAATATGAACTTCTAAAACTTATAAGCTAGATAATAATGTGCTGTGCTGAACTACCATCTCTGTCTGAGCTTTGTTTACAGGTGGGTGTGTCTGGAGAGCTCAGCTGTATCAAATCAGCTCATCAGCGGTCAGGGGATGTAAGGAGCAGCAGGACAACTCACCAGTGCCAGATGATACTCAGTCTTGGGTAGTTTATAGCCCTCCTCCTGATCTTTCTGAAAGATTTTAGAATTTGTTTGTCTGCCCGTTCCTGCCCTTCAGGCAGTTACCTTGCTCTGCCCTCCTGATCCCTCCAGGTTCCAGTCATCTATTCATATTTGCTTCCTGCAACATCACCGGAACCATCATCAACATTCCGGTCCTGCTGTTTGCCCCTGATCGCCTGCTCTCCGCCACTCACCGGCCCACCTGCAGCTCCTCGGTCTCCCTGCTCAGTCAGGCCTGGCATCCCCTCCCCGAAGAACCTGGATCATCCAGGAAACCGTAAGCCCTTTTGCATTCCTCATCATCCTCTCACGTTGTTCCAGACTCTGACCTCTCTTCCTCTCTCAGACCCCCACGGATCCATTTCCTGTCCATCGGAAGCTATCTCTACCGCACCGTACAAAATAAACCATTTTTACTTACCTTCTGACTCCTGGTGGTGATTCTTCATGTCATGGGTTAAGAAATTGCCTTCACACATGACAAATAATTAAATAAATATTTGTTTATTGCTACTTATAATAATTATAGTATAATGAAATGTTTTCATTAATCTGTGCTCAATGATTGAAGTTTGAAATTAATTGTTATTTGATTACAGTGATTGATATATGTTTCAGCATGTTTATTTGGCAAGGTCATCACCATTTGCACTCACACAAGGACAAAGTAAAGTTAAAGAGCAAGTCACCCCCTACCACAGTCTAACTCCACTCCCTCTTCACGTTTGAAAAATGCAACAAATGCTGTTGCCTGGCAGACCGAGAGGGCGGAGCCGCTAACAAATACACACAAACACAGACTCACAACAGCATTGTGACATCATAAGTACCAGTTTACATCATAGCATACCTCTTAGCCAATAGCGATGACAGATTTAAATTCAAATACAGTGCATAGTTTTTACCTGACAACGGTACAACACTGACAGTTTTAGGCAGAATATTTAAATTTTAACTAAGATGCACTGAAATGCCAAATTATTGACTACAGGTGTCTGCAGCACAATTAGACACTCGTTTATTTAGTTTATCAGCAAAAAAAAAGTTGATTTGGGGGTGACTTGCTCTTTAAGTCAAACGCGTGACACATAGATAGTCCTTTAACCCGGATCAGAGCATTCGAATCAAAGAAGACGTGTTTCTGAGTTGTCTTGGTAATATTCCTCAACTTGCCAACCTCTGGTTGGCTACACAAATCATAACATGAGAACCTTAAAACTGGATCCCTCTGGTGATTCATCAGTTCTTGAGAAAAGCTTCAGACCGGCCATCTGAAGCAAGACCTCTTTAACCCATCAACGCTTTTGACACGTCGTCAAAATGTTTTTGCACCTGCGAAGCTGATACAGCAAACAGTTCCTGCAGAACAAGCTGATAGTGTTCCGACTCCTTAAGAGTCCCAGATGCGCGGTTCCATCTGTCTGTTGTGACCTGGAGACAACTCTAAGACCGGTCTAGTAGTGCCGCAGTTTCTGCTACGGACCTCGGTGCCTGAAAGTCCAGGACTTCGACATTCTGGATCTATCACGAGGGTCTTCGAGTGGGTATGTAGACACACAGATAGCGTCTGATGTATTTTTGATAATAACTTCATAGCTTAACGCAAACCATATTATTTTGCATCCATAACTCAGCTCTCCTAGATACGGAAGTTCTGATAACGCCGCATTCACACATAGGTTTCATCCATCACATCTAGTTCCATCCATCACAGTAAATGTTAGTTAACCTGTCATGTTTTAATTGTTTAAAAATAAATTCTTACTTTTATAAACCTGACTCTTTTCTGAAGCAAAACGAAGTGTGTACAATCCCTTAATAAAACAAAGAATCATAGACTCTTCTGATTAAAACACAATAAAGACCAAGCAGGTTGATGTTCTATATTTAGATAGAGTATCACAGTTTACTGGTCATAAGTAGAGGTAATATATATTGAGCTCTTAACCCTTTGATGCATGAATTATGAAATCTTCAACTATGATTTTTTAAATGTTTTTTTTCATTCATATTTAGGTGTGAATGAAACAAATTTCACATTTACATATTTTTGTAACATTTAATTTACACATAGTTTATTACATGTCCACCTCAGTGGACAGCGTGCATTCTGAACATGAAATATGTTGGCTTGACTTACTGAAGTCCAAATGGAGGGGCTTAAATGCAATAAAGTCTTCAACAGCTGTGCTTAATAGCAAAAATAAATAAATAACAATTTTGAGTACCTGTCCACTGTAGTGACCATCATGCATCAAAGGGTTAAAGCATTCAATTTCTCAAACCCTACACGCATCTCAACAAATCCCACAAGAGTTCCTTTTCAAATAGACTTTGTGGTTATAGAAATATAAGGAAGTCTCATCTTTGTTATGAGTGTAACACCTGGAGTTCCAGCAGTGAGGACAAAAGTTACTGTAGATCAAAATACCTTTTGGATTTAGAATCAAGTTTTCTAACTGGGTTTTTTTTTAATTCCAACTTCCATAGCTGTAGCTGTCAGTCATAGTCTTTTCTGTAATATTTTGTTACTGAGGCCCATTATGCTGAGAACATGATTTTAGGGCTGGGATGAATTTAAAGAGGTTGTTCCAATGTTCCCTGAGTGAAGGGAGAGACTCATTACATTAGGTCTGAGAAGAAAAAGGCTTTTCAAGCTGGACAGCATTATAATTTAGAAGGTATATTTATAGGATTACATGTTTTTGGAGTCATAAATCACAGCTCCAACAATTTGTTCCAATATATCAGCATTAAGCACATCCTGAGTGCCGTCTGGCAACGGCTAATGTGGATTTGCAATTGAAAGTAATCATGAGCTGCTTCAACAAAGTGGAAAATATAAATCTTATATGCTTTTGGCTGTTTATGCAATATGTAAAGAAACACTTAAGACTTTCTTAAACAACACAAAAGGTTAGTTGAGGGATTGTGAACATCGAAGTCTTTCAGGATGACTTGCCAAGGGGGAAAAAGCATGGGTCTAAATAAACTTCACATGGAAGTTTGTAAATAAGTCCCAAAATAAGGTCCAACAGATAGCTCTCTTGACACTGACCATGGCCAAACTTCTGTGAGGAGGGAGATATTTTCATCCTGAGAATCCTTGTGCACCATGAGATCGTCAGGAGAACCAGGGACTTTTTGCTGATGATCGAAAATAGGCCTGAATCCATTTATCTTTGTTTGCTGGAACCTAAACGAGACATCCGGAAAAACCTCCAAAGTCCAGCTCCCATGGAAAGTGCTTTCAGGTGCATTCACTCACTGACGATCTCTCTCTCTCACTCACACACACACACACACACACACACACGCACGCACGCACGCACACACACACACACGCACGCACGCACACACACACACACACACCATGTCTGTTAGGTCATACAGTGTGAGCACATGACTCGTGAGGTCTGCCCTGCGAGGAAGTCGTACAGTTTGAGCTGAAGCTGAGTGCTACGAGTGAAAAAGTCGCACAGTGTCCGCCCAGCTTTAGTTGTCATTCATCACTACGGTGGATTAAGTCTTACAGATAAAGACTTCTGAAACACACAGATTTAATTTTTATGTTCAGTCTTTGGATCAGCACCAGGCTAACACAGGTCGTCCAGTTTTAAGCTTAAACGCATCACCAGAGAAATGACCCAATAAAAACAAATCTTACATCTGTTCTTGTTACTTGTTGAACCATGTAGCTCATAATTCTATACAAAAGCCTCCTTTTGGAGTTGGAAACACATGGATGCATTTAGGTTGAGAGGAACACTAAACGTACATGATGACATGTTTGTATATGAATGCTTTATCAATTTGAGCAATGTGGATGTGTGTGTGTGTGTGTGTGTGTGTGTGTGTGTGTGTGTGTGTGTGTGTGTGTGTGTGTGTGTGTGTGTGTGTGTGTGTGTGACTTGTGCAGGAAGACAATGCTGCAATAACAACTGCCTTCACATTCAGATCTTTTACATGTTAAACAAACCAGATGCGTGGGGTGATTATGAGAAACTAGATGCGTGTACTCAAACGTTACAGATCCGCGTTTCGCTGTTCCCATTTGTTTACACAAAAATAGGCTGACAGCTGTTTTTAGAAAGATGCCTCTCTCTCCAATAAGAATCTGTTTAATTATTGGTGTTATTTAGTAAGGTGTTAAACTTTCCTCAGAGGTTATGGTCTGTATTGACATGATAGCATGAAGAGAAGCTCCATTTCCACCACATCCCAAAGGTTCTGGACTGGACAGAGATCTGTGACTGTGGAGCAGCTAGAGTCCAGTGAACTTGTGGTCACGATCTAGAAACCAGCTAGAGATGACCTGAGCTTTGTGACATAGTGCATCATCCTGGTGGTACTGAGGCGTCCATAGTGGGACAAGACCACACACCACCAGCAGCCTGAGCTGCTGACACAAGGCAGGATGGATCCATGCTTTTATGTTGGTGATACCAAACCACAATGACTCGACCATCTGATTGTTGCAGCTGAAACCAGACTCATCAGAACAGGAAAGGTTTTCCAGTCTTTTCTGTTTATGTGGGAATCATAGCCTCAGCTTCCTGTTCTTAGCTGACTAGAGAGTCACCTGGTGTGGTCTTCTGCTGCTGGAGTCCCTCTGCTTCAAGGTTCATCGTGCTGTGGTTAGAGATGCTGAACTGGTAGGAGGCAGTGGTTATTTGAGCTACTGATTTATGTCATCAGGGACCAGTCTGCCCAGCCCATTGCCTTCTGACATCAACAAGATACCTTCATCCGCACCACTGCTGCTCCCTCTATATTTTCTCTTTTTCAGAACATTTGCTGCAAACCTTGGAAACAGTTTTGGGAGATAATACCAGTAGATCATCACTTTCTGAAATACTTAAGAGCATTTTGTTCAGGCCTCCGGCGTCTCAACTATCAGTTACTTATTAGTAATCTAGTCATTTTGTTAAAACAATCCAATTAATTTCATCACATTTTAGAAAAACATTTAAAAGAGAAAAAGACCTGTAAAAGTTTCACACAGTGTGACTGAAATAGCAGTTCAGGCTCTGTGCAAAAAGCAAACAATAAATGATAAGTTATTCTTTATATTAGCAGGTAAGAAATAATTACAATAAACACTCCTGTGTTCTGCTGCTTCCTCTGTGACTCAAACCAGATCTTTGTCTTCACTTTTCAGTCTTGCTGTCATTTAGGAGCTGTGCTTATGAAGCGTTTTCTTAATTAGAGTCAAAAGGGCCATTTAGCTTGCTCTCATGGATCAGCGCTCATCAGGAGTGACATCTCATTTCAAGGGACACTGAGTCTGCAGAACAACGCTGAATAACTGGAAATTAATTTGACCCAATTTGAGTTCTTAACAGAAAGTATTTTGAAAAAATAGTATAAAAGCTTCAGAATTAAATCAAACAGAACCTGTCTTAATGAGCACCTAATGA